TATCAGGATTCGATCTTAATAACTTCAAAACGATATTATTAAGATTCATCCGGTAACGTTATTATTTGAATATAGTTAATAACCTGATAAAAAGTTGATAGCGTTATTAAGATTTATCGGTATTATGATCGGATCTCAATAATCTCTCAAAATTATAAGGATGGTTATTAAGATACGAATATGGCACAGCTATACTGGTGCTCAATAATAAATTTTTGACTTTTGCATGTACGGATTTTTGTACGGATTTTTGTTGCCAAAGTACGGATTTTTACGGATTTTTTTAATCAATTTTGACTGTTTGTACGTATTTTCCTGTTTGCAGATCTGGTCACCTTAGAACTGCTGATGTTCGAACATTCATGATTCACTTTTGCGTGTTTGCTGTTTTATGTTTCGTTTCGGAATGTTTATTCGTGTATTTCCATTTTATTCTCACAGCCTCATATGTGTTTCATATAGCCATCCTTTGAGTTGGTGATTAACTTTTGACCTGTTATTACTTTATGATGGAAACTTCCTTTTGTGTCAATGTATTCAAGAAAACCAGTATCGTTTTTCATGTCTATCGGTCTCTAGGAGAAAAAACGTTGGTTGGGTATGATATACTTTCTGTGTACCATACACATTGTACGAATAAATGATACAATTCTGGATTGAACTATAATTTTTTACTTACCTTTCAAAAGCAGAACGAAATTTTTCTTGTCGTCACTTCCTTTTGGATACTCCCAATCCATATCAAGACCATCAAAACCACGCTTTCGAAGGAAGTTAATTGCTGAATAGATAAAAGTCTGTCGTGCATACCGCGATGTAGCCATTTCTTTGAATTTCTGTGTTCCAAATGACCAGCCACCAATAGCCAGAAGGACTTTCAACTTTGGATTAATTTTCTTCAAGCCGATTACTTTTTCATAGTAACCAGGAACGCCATCTTTTGATTCGTCATTGCTCTCAAATGAACTCAACCGACCTTTTTTCAACCATCCAAATGCGTAAATGATGTGTGTGCATAAATCGGCTGGAATATCTTCTGGCACAAACTTGCCTATTTTGGTACGATATTGAGACCAGTTTGTGTAGTAGCATACAATCTATTCAGAACAAAAAAAAAACATATGTATAATTTTTCTGAGAAACTTGATTTTTTCTTGCATAAATAGACAAAGGAGACCTCAAGTGGTTTGAAGCTTTTTTGACCATATGTCCTTTCTTCTATACAGGGAGTGGACACAACTCATTTCATTTTATTCAACACCGCCAATGACTGGCTGAATTTGGTTTTGTACAATATAAGCAGAGCTAACCAAAATATTTACGAAAAATCCTGAAATATTTATTTAATATAAATGGCTCACAGATTTGGAGCCCATACACCGCTGAAAAGATTGCTCGAGTTGAGTCCGTTCAAAAGCAATTTTTATTATTTGCACTGCGTAAAATGAAATGGTCCCATGGATTTAAGTTGCCACCATACGAATGTCGATTGCTGGAATTGCAAATGATTAC